AAAATTTTGTCTCTGCATTTTCTTTTCTTATGCTATGAAACTCTCATAATGCACTGTTGTTATAGCCATCTTGGTCCCAGGACATTAGAGACATTTTAGTTTGTTTGGGGTTTTTTTGACCAACTTCTGCCAGTGGGAAGTTGGTTCCAAAAAAGTTATCCCTCCCACCTGGTCAAACCTCAGATGAGCTCTGCATAAGCTCCAAAGCTTGTGTCTCCTGCCAATAAAATTTGGTCTCATGCACTGTCTCTCTCTAATATAAACACTACTAATCCCTGCCTATTGGGGGACTCTCCTTTCTAGCTACTGCATTCTTCTGAAAGAAAATTGAAAGAACAGAGATAATCCTCATTCTACGAGGAAGAAGCCTTTTTGCGAAAGAGCTCTTTCACAAAAAGGTGTGTGTGGATGGGGAAGAAGGAGTTCTTTCAAAAGAAGAGGAAAGAGGAAAAAGCACAGGTGCCCTGGTGGTCATTCCATTCATAGCAATCACAGCTTACATGCGAGAGAGTGTCCATTCAGTTTGGACGCTTTTTCGATGTGTTTTTGCAGTGTAGATGCTCTCTTTCGGAAGAAGTTCTTCCGGAAGATCTCTTCCAAAAAAATCTTCTTTCAAAAGAAGCCTGTAGTCTAGATGTAGCCTAAGCTATGGTGAATTAATTCTGGACAAAGTAGCATATCACATTCTCATGTACCACGTTTTTTGCGCACAGGAAACCAAGGTGTTAGATCCACAAGGACAGAACTGCTCAACTATAGGCCTGTAGAAAAGCAATAGACACTTTCTGCTGGCAAGGCATTTAGAAAACATTACACCACCATCACCCTAAACTGTGGTCCTCCAATAGATGAATATGCTCCCTTTAAGAAGCATAAAGCAGCTGAAGTACAGCACATAATCTAGGCTTAAGAACATAGCAATTGAACATGGCATTAACCAGAACCATAGTCAATTAAGTGCCATCATTAGAAAGAACTATAAAAAATATGAATGTATCATCAAAAGGATCCTTCCCAAGTATATTTTGGACTGATCATCCTTTCCCCCCATGCTATTATTTGCTTACAGAGTTCAAGTAAATATTACATTGAGGGGCCAGAGTGGTGCCGTGTTCACAAATGCTGCACTGCTATATTTCCAAGAAAGGAAAACCAGATCAATGCAAGCATCTCAAATATATTTACATTTCATGAACAAACCCAGCATTCAGGATTGACCATACAAAAACAAAACTCAAGGCTGAGAACGGAACCCGCAAAAGTGCAAACAAAAAATGTGCAATTCAGTGTTCTTTGTTAACCCTGCAGTAACAAGCAAATCCACTCACCTGATTATGAGAGAAACATATTTTGGCATGAAATCATGTTTTTAAAATTATGAAAACGACTTTACTAGTTCCTTTGTAACTAAGACACTAACACTGTTCTATAATTTGAAAAGGCAAGAAAGTTTTAGGTGGTGGAAAGAATCAAATACTTCTATAGAAGACAGAAAGAATTATTGCTACTTTTACTAGGTATACAAATATCATGGCTAAGCTTCAGCAATGTATTGGTGCTTTTAGGAAGACTATGGTAGCATAAGTACAATTGTTATTATGCTTGGCAGGCAAGCATCGTCCTGTTAAATCTCTTTTAAAAACAATATCTTGGTGGAGGTAATGTTCACTATTTACTGCAGCTCTGGTTGTTAGGGGTTACTACTCAGGTCTCATTCTTCCATGACATCAGCAGCATTCCAAAGGGAACATGTGCCAGTGAATTTTAGTAATGACTGTAGTCTCCAAGCATTGAAAACTTAGCCAAAATTCAGGACACCTGCAGACCAGCTGAGTAGAAGAAAAATCAAGGAGAAAGATGGATTACGTGTGCTTTCTGACTTGATTCCTAATGAATAATAAAAATGAAAAGAAAAAAAAGTTTTTGTTCCTTGGCTATTTGGTTTCAATTTGTAATGTTCAAAACAGAAAACTTGAAGACTTCTAAGTGATACAGATCGATGTAAAACTTATTCTGTCCCGTGGGTCACTTCAGTGACTGATATTACAATTACTGAGATAAATTCATCTAATTTCAGTGACATTACACCAAGAATAAGGTTTGCTCTGGTATCTTCAGAAACAGTACCTATGTCTCCATTATGTAATATTATTATCCTTAGTTTTCTAAATAATGTTTTAATGCCCTCATATGGTTTTCTGTATGTAAATATTACATATACACACTCAAAATGTTAAAAAGAAAACATTATTAAGGTTGCAAAGTCCAGCACTCAAAAGTTAGAAAATGCTAGAATTAAAGTTGCCTGTGCCCCCTTATGCATATATGTTCTAAAACAGTCCTTCATTACAAGATCATATACTATTTTCCCATGGAAACCTTGACTCAGTTACTGCATGAGATTCATGGTGCTCGCTGATTCAGTATTTTGCTCTCTTCTCATTGTTCAATGTATGCCCTGAGTTTGAATTTACTGCACTTTATCAAAATCGTGCTCTTGACACAGAAATATTAATTTCCTTATGTTTTTTTCTATTGTGCTTATCACCATAGTATTTGAGTGCTTCATGAACATTAATTTATTTTCACAACTCCCCTCTGAGGTGAGATGGTGTCAGTACAATCCACATTTTACTGATGGGAAACTGAGGCAGAGAAATTCATATCAGAAATATCCACTAATTTTGGATGCCCAATCTGAGGTGCTTAGGACCGGATTTTTCAGAGAATTTAGTATTATATAGCACTTTATAAGTTCAAAGCACAGCTCCAATTGTCTGCACTTGCAGCTGTGAGTGCTCAGCACTTCTACAAATTATACCCCTGGGCATCTTAAGTCAAGCATCCAGAAAACGAGGAATGTGCAGTTAGCCACCAGCTGTGAAAATCCTGATTTATTCTACTTGCCCAGAATCACATAGGAATTCTGTGGCAGAAGCCGGAATAGAATTCAATTCTCCGGGGCAACTGCTTCTACCATGAGACCATCCTTTCTCTTCCTTCCTCCAGCCTTATTCACCACACACCTTCCAACTCCTGGCACAAAAGAAGAAGTCAGACAGAGTGAGTCTCCTTCTCTAGAAATCATGATTCATCCTCATTATGAATCATGCTTATAGTAGCCTAAGGACCAACCAAGCATGGGGCTCCATTATACTAGCCACTGTACCGAGAGTAGCAGACAATCCTTTCCCCCCAAAGAGAGTGAGCACAGACCCTGCTATTTCTCTCAAGATTGACCCTTTCTCCCCTTTCCTTCCAAATGTCCCTCTCCCATCCTGTCTCTATTCTTTTACCCAATCTATGTGAGAATTGTGGGAGACATGTATTATTTTAATGAATATTTTGTGTGTCTCTGTTATTTGGCTGTTTTGGTGTGGTCTGCCATACAGTGACAAGGAGATTAATTCCTGCAGGAGTTACTCACATGCCCACAGAAAAGGAATCTCCAGAAAAAAAGACCAGCCATCAAACCAACATGAAACAATGACTGGACTGTTCTCTTGAATGGTCTCCTTCACTCCTGATGTACAGGCAGTCCCCAGGTTACGTACAAGATAGGGACTGCAGGTTTGTTCTTAAGTTGAATCTGTATGTAAGTCGGAACTGGCATCCAGATTCAGCCGCTGCTGAAACTGACCAGCGGCTGACTACAGGAAGCCCGAGGCA